AATAGTGAATATGTAAGGGAAGGCTGAGTGTGCTGAAGCTTAATTTTACACTTTAGTGTCTAATAATGGAGACCTTACTAGATACAGTAACAGATGGTCCAATCTAAAATTAGCCTGATAGCTCCTGCATGATTACCCATGAACCAAATTTAGAAGGGGATAACTGACGCCTCATTGTCGTTATCTTGATCAGATCATTTACATCTTTAGTGTCAGAAGGCATTTCAGTTTTTTGTGGTTCTAATTTTCCCAGTCTGGCAAGTAGCCATTCCCTCACATGCCTGACGTCTGAAAGCTCGGCACTGAGGTCAAAGAGGAGACTTATGGACGAGCTAATCAGCTCAGGATTTTATACGCGTAATCGGAGTTTGCACTGTGATCCACTCACAGGCAAATGAAGAGACAGATTAGGCTCCATGTGTAAGTGTGAGAGTATGGATGTCTGTATGTGTGTGTGTGTGTGTGTGTGTGTGTGTGTGTGTGTGTGTGTGTGTAAATACACAACTACACTAGATCTCTGTATATATAGCCTGCTGTGTTGAATAAGCGTGGCATATGTATTTTGTGAGTGTTTCCGTGTGTTACGCGTAGTTTGAGCTCACTGTGATGTCAGAAAGCAGATGTCCTCTGACCCTCCTGATGAAGTGAGGACAGCAATGGGCAGACTTTGAGTTCTGGCTTCTTCGTCCCTCCATCTGTCTCGATGTGATCCAGGAGAAACTGGATCCCTCTATTCCCCTCACACCCTGGCTAAAAGGGGACCTCTAAATTGCCTTCCTTCCCTATGCAGGAAGATGATGATAAACCACTTGAAGTAGCTCAATGACAGTAAGATTTATTTTCCTCTGAGGTGACTGATCCCATTAAGATGATAACATGGCTGAGCATCTGTTGTTATATTTAGGAGCAAGACTGAGTTCAGCAGGTTATTTTCTACTTTTAGTCAATTATAGCTTGCTTATTATATATGAGATGCAAACAACACCACAATTCTATAAATACATGAATTTTATAAACATGTCTACCTAACCCTGATAGCACTGACACAAACTGCAGTCCTTTAAAATTGTACTAATCCTGTATTATCTTCTGAAATGTTCAGACTCACTTATATAATCTGATTTTTTCAATCACTTTTGGACTTAGCTCACCTCTTAATCCATCAACGATACAGTTACCTGAGCTATATATAGCAATCCATGTGTTCATTTAAACTTTTGCTATTATCTAGATTATCCATTTTCTTTGTGTGTATCTTCATTACAAACTCAATGAGTAATTTTTTTTTATGTATTTTTATGTTTTTACATGTGCTGCAATTATCTTTCCAGTAATCAGATCAGTGTAATGCCAATGTAAGCCTGCTAAAACAAGATGATGATGCTTTATGACTTCTAGTAACATGGTGACCTGAATGCGGGCCTATCAGATTTCTGTCAGATGACCGCTGTGATAAAAAAGATAACATGACTTGTGCATGTAGTGTTTTTTGTTTTTTTTTGTTCATCAACAGTGAGGAATCAGAATTATCTGCAAAGCCATTATCAGGATATGTGTGCAAACATGGTGCAATATGGGTGAAAGAGGGTTATTTGACACTACAAGTGAGGTCATCCGTTACTTCTGCAATCTGCGTGAATGAAAGATTTCACTGCAACAAGAGTGGTCAGCCACAATGCTAGCAGCTATTTGAAGCTGTACAACAGTGCTTTGAGCTAAATGGAACTGGCATGCTAACATACTGATTATACCAGTATGATACCAGTTGTTTACCATGTTAACCATCTTAGTTTAACATGTTATCATGCTCACATTTGCTAATGAAATAACCTGATGATAGCACTGGATTAAAAGTTTAGGTATCACCAAAGTTATGACAGTTCATATGTAGACTAAGTTTAATGGTAGCCCACCCAATAGTTGTTGTGACATTTCAACCAAAACCGCAAATGTCAACCTGCTGTTGGCACTAGAGAAAAGGTCAGGGGATCATTAAAGTCAGAGGATTTGTTTGCTGAATAGATAAAACAGGTGGCACAGTGGTGCAGTGGTTAGCACTGTCGCCTCACAGGCCCCTGGCCTGGGGCCTTTCTGTGTGGGGTTTGCATGTTCTCCCTGTGCCTGCGTGGGTTCTGTCCAGGTACTCCGGCTTCCTCCCACAGTCTGAAGAATTTTAAAGTGCCCATAAGTGTGAATGTGTGTGTAAGTGTGAATGTGTGCGCAAGTGGTTGTGTGTCTCCACATGTCAGCCCTGTGTCCCTGGGCGACATGTCTAGGGTGTACCCCGCCCTCGCCCAATGTCAGCTGGGATTGGCTTCAGCCCTCCCCCAACCCTAAAAGGATAAACGGTATAGATAATGGATGGATGGATAAATAAAACGAAAAATTTCATGGCAATCCATTGAAACGTTGTTGAAATATTTCAGTCTGGACCAAAGTGGTGGAAAGACAACAATAACAGACTAACATTGCCATCCATGCCGCTGATTTAATAAAAATAATTTATTTATTTATTAAATTAAAAATACACAGCATTTTATTTTATACATCCATTATATACCTTTTAAACGCATGCACAGAGAGCCATCTTACAACAACTGTGAGTCAAAGGGAGCCATGACATACACATTTTGCCAGTATATTGTCCACTACAGGCTGAAAGAAAGCAGTCAGATAAGATAAAAGAATCACCTGCAACAACACTTGATTGTCTTCGCAAACAAGTGGATTGTGTCACTCTTTGACCCACTTTGATCAATCCTATTCTTTGATTCATCCCTTTCTCATGGAGGTCACTTTTGATGTTATCAGGGAAATTACAACATGTGGATCCTCCTCAGCCTGCAGGTTAAAGGTTTACTGAGGCTGAAGGAGGATGTTAAAGCACTTGGTTATAGAGTTCCTCCAAGACAAAATGAGTGTGTCATTACATGCACTCTACTATCTCATCATTAAACTGTAATTTGTCATTATCTGTCATTGTCATTATCAACCGTCATTATCTACCCTATCCCACGCCTTGTAGGAATTACATAATTGAAACAGTGACAACATTCAATCATTTAATCAGTTGATAAATTACAGCTGCTTACAATCCAATTGGACTTTCTGAAACCCCACCTGTTAAGTAGTTGCAAAGGTAAGGGAAGACATCATTCATTCACCTTACATTTTATGAGTTTAACATGAATACAGCCACAACTTGGGAGCGCCATCAGATATGGTTTGAGACAGATTTTACACTAATGTGTTTAGTCAAGAGGAGCAGTCAGGAGTGGTGCTTATTCACAGAGACTGCCCCCCCTCTAACAGGCTCACAGAGACTTTTGACCTGGAGTTAAAACACACACAATTTCATAAACCTCAAACATTTTAGTCAAAATACATTTGAAAATGTGATTTAAATGACTCTGTAAATACAGCTGCCCTATTTTTTTGTTTTGTTTTACACTGGTTGGGTGTGACACACTCAGAAAATTACCTCAGATATGATGTAAATTCAGTGAAAGATGGGAGTCTCTGATTGATTTCCCAACACACTGGATTTGATGTAACTCTCCCATTAACTACTGGACATGTACGTGATCTTCTGCTTTTTCAAACCACTTGACTCTTTGAACTCACAGAAAAACAAAATGTGACAGGTACATCTTCAGCAAATACAATAACACAGATGTGTGGGTTAGGTGTGTTTATATTACAGGTGGAACTTGAAACATGGAACTCCCATGAGAAAACTCCCATAAAAGAGCAATAAAATAATATCACGGGCTGACTATTGTTTCATGACAAATACACAAGATTATAACAGGGTTGGTTTCATTTGTTGGCTTTGATTGGCATTAATACTGAGCTGAGCCTAAGGCTTAATAATTCAAGGAAAGGTGGGGCTCCAGGCCTGGGGGGTTATGATTAACGATTAATGATTGTTCTTAACATATTTTGTGGAGTTTGGGGCTTTGATTTCAGAATTGGTGCTTTTCCTACCCCACTGAGACAGAGCGAAGCAGCGAGGACTGACCCTACAATCCTCCATTTCTGGGCCTTTTTCACACCTGACATTTTGAGTTGTCATAGTAAGAAAAGCACAGGTGCTGCTGATAACATTAACAATAGCTCTGGTATATTCATGTTCCTCTTTAAACCAGGACCCTGAAACGAAAGCAATAACCAATAACCACCACTGATTTTTTAATATATACACCAGTTCCTACTGTGACATGTCAAAATTTCTGCTGGGGAAAATCCCCAAACACAGGGATGATATGTGCTGAATCTGAATGTTAACATCTACATTCACCCTCAAATGCACATGACTGATTTGTGATTTTTACAGGGTCTATCATTCAAAAATTCAGTTTGATTTTCACACAACTTTTTATTTATTTTTTAAAATGTAATGTTCTCCTTTGTTCATGTGTCCTGATTTTTGTTGCCATTAAGTCACAGTGAGGATATTTAGGCTATAAAATAGAATGAGTGATAGTTTTTTATCTAACTACATTTCTTCTTCAGATGTAAAGCTGTCTCCATTGCACAAATATTGTCAGATGCCCCTCTAACATCATGGCTGTAGCCACTGAAGACATTGAGTTTCTTGACATCTGCATTTTTTTTGTGTTTGGTAGATGTATAAAATGTACTGAAAATGTAATTGGGCATTTAACTGAGTAAGTAAAAGCTCTTCCCCCTTAGCACACCATAGTCCTAAATGATAGATCACTGATTAGCTCTCTTCCCCGTCAGACATCAGACACTCTTCACAAATACAAGTCTACTTGGCAAATGGTTCCATGTCCTGCTGCTGCTGCACCAGTTTGGTGGAAATCAGCACAAATTACGCATTTGTTTATCCTTTACCACTGTTTTGACCAGAATTGTGGCCCCACCCACTGAGACCAGTCCAACCAATGAGCTCTTCTCTGCTTAGGAGGAGTGATCTGGATATCTAAAACTCCGGTCTGCCTGTTCATTGTACTGAGTCAGCGGCCATGCGCAAATGGATCCAGAGGAGGGCTGTGCTGTGTAGGCTGTAGTCTACATAAGATCTCCGCCTGCGGGACTTCTGCACTCACACCTTCCAGACGCACTGATCTTAATGAGGAAAACATAAATCCAGGGGAGTCTTGACGGGTACCTTGGGATCATTTCTCTAGCAAAGCCCCCTCCCCCTCTTCCCTTCTCTCATGACTGACCATCTCGGACCACGGATGCAGAGAGCAGCAACAATGCGGCGGCTCCGCTCTTAACTCGTTGGACCCCCCGCCACCCACTCCCCCCTTTCTCGCTCTTGTTTTTGCCGGTTCTAGCTGAAGGAGGCTGAATTAATTCAGGATGAAGCTCAAACCGAACCAGACCAGGACATACGATGGCGAGGGCTTCAAGAAACGAGCAGCGTGTCTGTGCTTCAAGAATGAACGTGAAGAAGAGGTAAGAGACCCCGCAGTGTAACACTGTATAAATGGACCTTTTGAACAACATACAGCGGTTGTATATGACTTTGTGGCCTAGTCATCCCCCTATCTGCACCTAGTCATTCAGACAGCACAGGGGAGGCGGGAGGGGGGCTGAATAAAATTGTCAATAATTTTCAATAATAGATATGGGTTTTGATTTATTACGTCTCTTTCTATGTATAACTACATTTACACAGTTTTTATGTTTCTCTCAAGGCCAGTGTTTTGGTTTGTGTTTCTGTGCTACTGGTGCTGCTGCTGATGCGCCTTGGGCTATCCAGTTTAGGCTAGTTCGAGGAGCACGTAGAGAAAAGAGAAAAATGAGTGTTGTCAAGTTAACTTCACTTAGCAACATAACGAGTAACGCTAATGGTTTTCAAAATAAACCCCTCTGACTAAGAATCCCATAGAAACAGTGCTTTGACTTAACACGAACCTCTTATTTTGAAGATATATTCGCAGTACTTCCTTTTAACATCTACCTAGCTTGAAGTAGCAAACAGAGGGGGCGAGGCGCTCTGTTGCACGTTTCCTTTAATAGCGGGTCCAACATCGGCTTGTGTTGAGCGAGGAGACGAGAATATAGGCTACAAGTCTGTTATTAAATATATCTGTCAAATGTCGAGTCACTTCATCACATTTAATAAGCACGGCAGCGTAAGCATCCATGACCAGGCAGTTGCCATTCATGATAATGCTGCATCCCGCCGGCCTTGAGCGGGCAGCTGCGTAGCAATTATGTGGATGAGGATTTAAAGGGGCCTTCACCACGTAAATAATGAATATGGGGTGACAGACTTTTAATGCAATTATGTCTTTTCCCGGTGATATACAACACAGTAGACCCACTTTAAAGGGGATTTACGTAGTCTTCAGCAGTAGTTTCCACCCCAGACGTTATTAAAAATACATTAGCTGTGATATTCCCAAGATATTAACCCATTAAAAGAGTTAACACATATTTAGCACTTTTAGATATTGTTGGCTGTTTTTTGTGTTTTTTTTTTCTACAAAATGTGTTATGGGGTTTTTTTTTGTTTGTTTGTTTTTTTACATTTCCGTGTAATATTTAATATGCAACATCCAAAAACAAAAAGCCAACAAAAAACCCAGTGGACCATATCTAATACAGATGACATAAAATGGTACACAACTGTATAAACTGAACAAAAAAATATATGAATTTTAAAAAAGGGTAGTCTAAGGGATGCCGGAAACATTAACAACCTCAAGTTGTAGCCTTCGGGGCCACAGTCTAGACAGAGCCCATGTTTTACTAAGTACTTTGAGTTATGTTTTTGGTTACTCACAACTTATTCTTGCATACATATACAGTATGTTTGCTTGGTAAGTTACTAGTTCCCTTGTGGGACCATATATGTGGGGTCATATCGAACTTATTCTGACATATTTTTGCATGTCTAAATTTAGCCTCCTCTTTCAGCGTGGCATAAACAAACTGTTACACAATATAGAGTAAAAACAGTCCAGTCTGGTGTCACTAGACACAAGCATATCCGCTCACTTACATGTGTGCAGATGTTATGTCATCATCATGCCTGAGTTTTAGGTGTAGGATCACAACAGAGATTTTTATAAAACTAGTGATATAAGATGAGAGATTTTTGTCTTCATTTTATATTTGTTGTTCTAAAAACGTGTTGTTTTTGCACTCTTTCCTAATTATTATCAGAACTTGTTTGTACACTTGTATGCTTTTCTTAAAACTTGTAATTACAGGAAAGAACAGTCAGAGAATATTGTGACAACAGAAGTGTGTAGGTGTGACCATCACCCTCAGGATTGTCAGGCTCTGACAAACATGTCTGCTCATGTAATCACAGAGATGACACTGCTTGAAGTAAGAGAACCAGTCTGGTGCTCTGATTGCGATCTTGGGCGATAACAATATCCATTTTCTGCTTAAAGAAGCTTGAGGTATTGGGATTTGTGGCATCAATACTTTCCTTACACACACGCCTACACACACACAATCGGTTCCTAGACACAGGAGAACCAACTGTGGTGAAATAAGAGCCACACATGCTGCTAGAGTGTTTTGTTTTGTAGAGGAAGGAAGAAAGCTGAGCCCTCAGGGCGAGGTACTCTGACAGCAATTAAAGTCCTAACAAGGGAAAGCGGGAACCTGACAGTGCAGAGGGATAGCAGTGATAGCTGAGTTGGGCCACCTGAGTTTAACACCACGTGAGCTGCTTGGGGCCAAGAGAGTTGGCACTTTAATTATTTTACATCAGAATAGTGCAATGATAGGTTGCATAAACCCATAATTAAATAAGTAGACGTAATGTGTTTTTTTTTTTTTGTTTTTTTTTTTTTTTTGAGCGATTAATTGAATGAAGACTACTCATTCATACATTTAATGCATATTGAAACAAACAAACTATTGTACATGTATTACAACTTTATGTTTAAACATCTTAATATTATTGGATATTGTGAAGCGCACAGTGAAAGCCACAAATTTGTGGTTGCGCAGCCGATGAACAGCTTTTGGGAAACGATTTCATTAACTTTCATTCATTTTTCAGAAGTAATAAAATTACAGTCAAAAGTACAGTTCCAGTACGACTTTAAAGCTGCTATAATCAATATTTTCACATTAGCAATAGTACTAAATATAATTGTGTAAAGTGAAAAGAATCAATCACCCACAGAGAATTATCATTCAGGTCTGCAGTTCCTGTCTATACAGATTTTTTTGTTTTACTTCCTGTCACCTCTTTGTTTTGGTTTGTCTGTCTTCCACCATAAGGCAGACAAAGTTAGCAATTAGCTGCTGAACATATTCTAGCATCTAGCACCTAAAAAGCCAGATATTTCCCTCAGGTGTGGGTGTAGAACAAAAACAGAGGACTTACATTTGACAGGGGGCCAAGAAGATGACTCCAAATGAATGATGATGTTGCTTTGAATCTGTTGGACGGATAAATAAGCATCTGTTTGCCAACAAGTTTACTATATAAAATTCATAAAACCAACAAATCATTTATTGCTCTTTTAATTTAACTGTCGAAATCCTAATTTCTGAATCCAAACTTTAAATTTAAAATCCTTTTTGTTTGTTCCGTGATTGAGAAGCAACCTGATGTGTGACATACTCTGTTGGTTGGGCTTTTATCAAACTTTATTGCAACGCGTTTCGTGCATTAGTTAGAATGAGAGAGATGATTTGCTATCTCTGATCGAGACAACAGTTGTAGCAATAACCTCCATGTGCATCAGATTATGACCAAGAGGCTTGATCACTGCAGCAGATTGTAAATAGTGTCATACTGGAAATGGTACAGTGGTTATCGGTGAGTGGATGCTTCACCATAAAAGGCGCTCAGTCTCTCTCTCCCTTTGCCTCCTGCTGTTCGTCTCTCACTTTCCCTCTTTATGACTCCACTTATTTGTTGATACCTGTATAATGCAGCGACTGTGTTACTGTCGTAGCGCTATTGATTCTGCCCCAGCACTTGTGTACTTGAGTGTCTTAAGACTTGCCATCACTCTCTGCTCCCAGGACCCGGCTTGGCCTGGCATTTGGAGCCTTCTTTATTTGACAGCTACAGGCGTTCCTCCTTGGGGAGGAGGAGGTGTTTATGTCCTCCAGAATATTCCTGCCTGCTGTCCCCGTATGAAGGCATGCCACAGGACTTACCGTCAGAGCCAGTGTTTTACTACCAGTGGCAGTTCTGATATGTCAAACTGAGTTAAAAATGAGTGATCTTTCTTTTCTAAATCCCTTGCAAGAAGCTTGTTTGTATTGTTCGATGGATTTCTGGGTAACAGGGGTCAGCTGACGCCAGATGTGTCTGACATTTGAACATAGCCTTTTTCATTACACAGAGGAGATTTACTGTATGTTGCACTAGAATTTGCCCACCTCTCTTTCCACAGTGGGGGCCCCTGTGAAGTGGTGTGAGTTGACAGTAAAATGTAACCGGGAAACACTACAGTATTTCCTCTGGGGTTTTCTCCTTCACCCTGCCCCTCTGTCCAAATATAAGTGGGGTTTCTGTGCTCAGGGCTCAGCTGTCTTCTGACCGCTGACCTCTCATGACGGTGTGAGTTATTTTGTTTTGGTTTTTTCATCACGCTTTCAAACGTAGCCTGTGGGGTTAAGAGCGGGGTATAGATCATGATGCGTCAGAGATTACCAACCAAGGTAGTTCTACAGTTGTAGGGTTGTAGAGTAGATCCACAAATTTAACAAAATAAAGATTACGATTTGTTTTTAGAACTTTAAATACTTTATTTTTATATAATTATTCAGTGAATGGGCTGGGTTTCTAAAACTTGTCCAAGTGACTTTGTGCTGAGAGAGATGAATTGAAGCAGACGGGCTTGATTTTGTTGTGTCCATTAGCGAGGCTCAAAGGCAGCACCAAACCCCTGCTGCTCCCTCTTATAAAACTAATAAGCTGCATTCATCTCAGCAGCACATGTGAAGATACAAATCCTTAATTATATGCCGTTTGTAATATGTCGATTCAGTGCTCTACATTCCTTAATTCATTAAAACGCAACTAAATGTAGCCTGCACTGTCTTCCGAGGATGGACATCAACCAGAAGATAAAAATGGAACAGGCAGAGCAGAGATCTACTTTGTCCTCGCTGCCCTGGAAGCTCTGCGGCTTTTGTTTTGTATACAACCCACAGTGTTGGCTTTTGGACACGTTGACACCAGCAATCTCCCTGTAAGCCTTGTTGGCTGCAGCTCAGCACGCAGACACACACACACACACACACGGTCAGACAGTGAGGGCTAGGTGTAAGAGCGCTCTGAAATCTCTAACACATCCAAAACACAAAGAATGAATGAATCTTTCATTACATCATACCACTTAAATGGCCCATCCTTCATGGAAGTACTTAGACAATAAAAGCATATATGAAAACAGATGTTCAAATAAGCCCTTGCTTCACACGCATTCCTAGACAACAAAATCATAAAGGGCTTCTTAAGATAATTGTTTTTATTAAATACCCCTTACTCAGTTTGTGACAAAAGGACTAAAGTTCACAATCAACTTGTTTTTAGCGCTAGGCCATCCTGTTCCTCTAAGACTTGGCTGAAGCATGTTAGGAGGTTCAACTTTGCACATTTCCTCCAGTTTGCACTCTGCTGAGAAGACGTCATGTTCTGCACCAGCTCTGCTCGTACAGTTACTGTAAGCGCGCCCTCTTTTAACGCACACCACTTACTGTAAACTGTATAAGACCCACACCTGTTGTATGGGATGAACACCTCCCCGTGTGTTTTTTTTTCTTCAACCTTTTCATCTGCAGAATATGTTTACTGAGCATGCACACACTTAATCCACAGCTTCATACTTGACATTCGTGCCGTGAAGTTACACGCACGCAGCCCCGTCCACGTCCTTCCCCCTCATCCTAACCTACATCGTCTGGGAATAAGCAGGTGGCTGAGTTGGGTGAGCGCGGCACGTGAGAAAGGCAGCAGCCGACGAGCGCTCACTCTCAAGGCCCCAGGCATGTGCCGTCCAATCGGTTTGGCCCTTGGCCCTCGGGCCTTAGAGAAACCTCAGAAGGCCTCTGCAGCCACAATCCCATTAGAGAACACAAGGGAAGATATACAAAAGCTGAGTTAGGATTAAGTGACAGGCTGACTCCTCTGGCAGATTACTGGATATGGTGATAGGATGGGTGGCAGAGGTGGATGTCACCATATGTTGCGCAAGCTGCTAAACATATGTTTCTCTCTTTAATGCATATATATTTACATTTAATGCTTGTGTAGAATGATTTCTGAATTGGCAAGGATGCATGAGAGGTGGTAATATGATCATAAGCAAAAAGATGACAAGTTTGAGTGTCCTTGAATGAGACTCTGCTGCCTCTAGGGTGCCTTTAACTTGCCCCCATCTCATGTAACAGATTCATTTGTATGCTTGCATCAGATTGAAATCCAAAAAAACCACCTAGTATGGCAAATGAAATGCAGTAAGATATAGTAAATGCAGTCGAATCACAAGTAAATGAACCACCAGAGCCTGTAATTGAATCCAGTTTTTTCTTGTATTGGCTGCTGATATCACTACGACCTGTGTTCCTTCACAGGCTGTGTTTAAATGATGACTTAATTGCTCCATGCAAATGCAATAATGTTTACAGCAGGTGTGCTCGTGTCTGTTGTGGTTGCTATATGGATACTGGCTGAAACCGCAGACACAGGCACATCTGATCCGTGCGTATCGGTGTCCACTGCAACTGTAGTGTAATTCAAACCAGGGCGCTCAGGGGAGCGCTGATAGAATTCGAGTGGCTCATGCTGGGTTTACATGCATTGTTCGCCGGGGTCATGTTGTGTCGGAAACGCTTCGATACTGACCTTGATTGAGCTTTATCACGGAGGCTAGTGAAATAAACATAATATATATATACTTAATAAAAACATATAATAAATATTGTGCACAAGAATATGGGAATAAGATTAAGTTTTGTTCCAGTTAGTTAACATCAGCTCAAATGCCAAACTGCTTATAAAAGGTTTGTGTGTGATATTTGAATATATAATAAGAATCAACAGTTTAAGTTGACATGGAATAACCCCGATAGCACATTCTCATACTTCCATGTACTTATGTCACTCAGAGGACTGTTTCAGAGGACTGTTTATTTGTGAGATTGAAATGTTTAATGGACGCTGTGGTAGATTTAGGATCCTGTAAGCAACAACTGAGAATAAATAGCTGAGGCACCACTAGTCATCACTCATCTGTCCTTGAGACCTGAGTCAAAGGGTAATGGCTTATGTCAAAGTGCTCGGTTTCAGTGTGACACTCTAAGTCAAGGCCACCGAAAAGAGGGGTGAAGTCACTGAGGCAAATCTCAATCAACAATTGGGTGCCAGAAAAATGTTCCCTCCGCAACTAAACCAAGTAAGGAGAAAATGGTTCTCCTGTTCCTTCAGGTTGTGACTTCATTGCCCCTCCACCCCCCGATATGACGAGTGTCTGTGTCTCCAAGAGGCAAACAAAGTCACAGTGAAAGAAAAAAGTCTGAGACGCTCTGTATTCCCTAAAGTTTGGGTTTTCTCCGACAGGTTCTGCTGGTCAGCAGCAGTCGGCACCCGGACCAGTGGATCGTCCCCGGAGGAGGGATGGAGCCCGAGGAGGAGCCGTGTGGTGCGGCGGTGCGAGAGGTGTTTGAGGAGGTGAATAAAGCTGTGGAATTTTTTGTTGTTTTGTTTTAACTTCATATTAACCAAGTCTCGACCCCCAAGTTGAGGTCATTTTGTGCGATCACAAGGCAAAGCACATACCTACATCCAAAGACCACCTGTCCATTATAGAACAAGGATCTAAAACCGCATGTAAAAAAACTGATCTTTGGAAGTTGGTTACAGGTTGTTGTAAAAGTCCTCTGTCCTGCAAATGTCTGTGTTCGAACTGCAAGAATTACCACATCATTCTTGCGACAAGGGCCAAAACTATCCTGAGAGAAACCATAAAAGGATTGTCTCTATATCTGCGTCAATAAAGGAAAAAGTAAAGAAGGAATATAATACGGCTGTAATGTTATATTAAAAAAAAAAAAGTCAAAACATAATATACACGCAACATTTTTACAGAGTGACTTGGCAGTTTTGGGGTGAAAGTCTGTTCAGAGGTCATTTGAGACAACACATGGCTGCTGGGAACATTACACCTGCCATGTTTTGGATAGGGACAGCTCTTTGTAGTCATTATTGTCATTAGAAATCTTGCAAAACAGCTCAAGTACACATCTGTGCATCCTCGGAGTTACCCGTGACTCTCCCACGTCCTTGCCAGCGTTCATTTCCAGTAAAAGAAACGCTCTGAAATGACCAGAATTGGAGTTGCTGTAGTTGGCAGCAGCATGCATGCTAAGGGTGAGATTGTTGAAGGGCCACGGTGTCAGTAGCTGGGTGACTGAGGAGCCCGCTGGTATTCCAGAGGTCCCGCCGGTTGAGAACGCTGTGTTCTCAGTCACGTCAGTGGTCTAAACTTGGCTTCTCGCTGGATTCCTGTGCATTCACAGACCCGGCAGCCCAGCCCACTGGACACATCAGTGGGACAGAGTGACACTTGTGAAGTATGCTGAGAAGGAGAAGGGACAGATGTCATATGTCTTGACAGTAATTTGAATCCTGTGAAGTGCAGCTGAATTAATAAAACAACTGTTAGGTGTTATGAAAGGGACATAATTACATTTCCGTAATAAAACTCTTTCCGGATTCATGCCAGGTTTTTTCCAGGCGACGGGGCAGTACAAATGATTCATAATGATGACTATTATTATATAATGTCTTCCTGAAGACTTATCTATCGTCAAACCAGTCCAAAACACAACACGGTTACATATAGACATCATTATATCTTTTAAGACGAATAATGATTGTAGCTTCTACAAAACCTGAAGAAGCTGTGTTACCACAGAAGACAAAAATAACCCCCCCCCCCCCCCCCAAAAAAAAACATCTCAGTCTTGGCTCATGGGTGTATTGTGCAGTTTAGTCCTGAATGTTTTCATGCTAGGGTAATTGTCAAGCATTTCTATATCAAAACAAAGCATGGGAGGTTGCAGTTGAGTTCAGTACATAGAGGTGGACCCGAAGTTCTTTAAAACACTGAGATCTAATACACAACACCCATTGTTGTGACACAGAATATGGTCTGTGGTTTAACCACTGCCTTTCTCTTGTTTTCAGCCTCTATTCATGTGTCTGATTTGTGTTGTACAAAAATGTCCTCTACTGTCTGTCTGTTATGTAGAGTTGAACCAGTAAGTAATGATTTCGCTTCTTTTCCTCCTCAGGCTGGTGTGAAGGGCAAGCTAGGACGCCTGCTCGGTGTATTTGAGGTAAGCCTTTCACATACGTATATTGAAGTGTACAGATTACCATATAAAATGTCCACCTTCAAATTGAAATTCCCAGTATGTGTCAGGATGCCTGGCTAATAAACTTCACTGTGGTTCTAGTATGAATTTTGCATTTAATAGTCTGCTGCGTTGACAGTAAAGTTGTAGCTCGGTGCTTATCGACACTCGTGGAAATCTAATAATAAATAATTTGTGTAATCATTTATACAAGGACATAAATTAAGTAAAACTGAAAAAAAAAAATTGCTATTATCGTCAAATAATCAGTTTCCTTTTCCTTCTGATCCCTAAAGCAAAACCAAGATCGAAAGCACCGGACGTACGTGTATGTGTTGACTGTGACAGAAACTCTGGAGGCCTGGGAAGACTCGGTCAACATAGGTACAGTTTCCCTTCAGCTTCTAATCTCTGTTTGCAGATGCAGTGTGTATGTATGTGTGTGTGTGTGAGAGTGTGTGTGTGTGCTGAGGGCTGTCATACCTTTTTACAAAATACTATGTCTTTTTATTAATGTGAATGCCACTGTACTGCGTGGAGACTCTATGGGCAGTGGGATATGCAGTGACAGCAGGTGCCTGTAAATCTAGGGCACTGATCTTGGCTGCAGTGGTTCTGTGGCTGCAGTACATTATTGCTGTCAGTAGTGTAAATCAGTGTAAACCAGAGCCTGCTGCATCTGCTGCTCTCTTGTTTTGAAAGAGTTCATAGCACATGTGCTGAATATTTTTGTGTATGCATGGCTTCACATTTGTAGGTACGTCATATTTTCATATGCATAAGCATCCGATAATGTGTGTGGTTCTCAAGATGCAATATCGACCTTCACTTTTCAAAATATTCCAGTCCTGCTTCACATCATACTTCCAAATTTCAGTTAATCCAATGAACTGTTTCTTCCTTATAGCTGAGAGAGAGTAACATTAAAGCTGTGACTGTGAAGCTTATGATTTCCTTGATGTTTGCTGCATAGATACCAGAAGAAATAGCTTTGATACAGTTTAAAAACAACCAGTGGAAAAGGAAAAAAAAAGCATCTAGTGTGTTTGATGCAGGCTGTATTACATAAGTATAATGTAATATGAAAGCTTGCTTTGACTCATGCATCGATCTCTGTCTCCCTCTGCAGGCCGTAAGCGGGAGTGGTTCACGGTGGACGAGGCCATCAAAGTGCTGCAGAGCCACAAACCCGTCCACGCCGAGTACCTGCGGAGGCTCCAGCTCAGCTGCTCCCCGACCAACGGTAACTCCATCCTCCCGAGCCCGCCACCAAACGACAACTACCCCCATTACAGCGCCACCGCCACCACCACGCCCTCGACGGGGAGCGTGTTGGGCTCCTCCTGCAGATAGGACTGCACCTAAACCCTCTGTCCTGTCCAGCTTGGACAGTTCACTGAAAGTCTGTACAGTCTTGCATGAATCTAATGACTTCTTTTTTTTTTTTTTTTTTTTTTTTTTTAGGGTTACGGCTCTCTTGTATGTATAATTTCTAGTCTTAGCTGCAGGACAGACCAAAGCCATTGCCAGGACTGTGTTAAAGACTCACGTGACTGAGCAGGACAAGCTGGTAAAGCTCATATCTCTGAGAGAAAAAGACAAACTGTGGATATGGCTAACTCAAGAACACCTTTCATTTGCTGGCAAACACCGGACTGATGAGCTGAAGTTTGGGAAGAGGAAGCTGCAGACTCTGCTGGTGAAGGAATGCCTTACAGAAACTTTGTATGAATGTTGTATTTGGGTTGTTTTACTTCACTAACGGTCATTTTTTTTTTATTTTCTTTTTAGCAGAATGGATATGCTTTCTAGTTAATAAAAGGGTAATTGACCCCAAAGCACGTCCATGTGGGGAATGTTTCTAGACTGAATAATGTCTTCATCATCAACCTATGATGATAACAACCAAATATTATATATATTACATGGATCTAACTTTTTTTTAAAAAAAAAAGACACCTGAGCATTGATGTTTCAAGAGTCTCCTCTTTTGCATTTCAATGTGAAGTGGGATTTTTTCTTTACATTAATCATTAGTTAACTAAAATGATAAATCCTTCCCCACATTGCTTTTTCAAAACTACAGATGTTGGTGTTGAAAATAAAAGTAACTAACGTGAAAGTTTGTATTAACAAATACAAAAAACAAGAGAACAAAATGAAGTGAAAGTTGCCCTGATAAAAGCCGTCAGTGAGTTGCTACCTCAGTAAGCCGAAAACTGGATCCGAGTCATGACGCTGGTCGATATCCTTTGACACAACACTGCTGTGTTTATAGTTAAACTTCAGCCAATGCCTCCGAATTACAAGTCAGCTGACCTTGACTGATCCAACAGACTGGCCTGTTTTAAAGCCACATACCTTTCACCACGGCTTGGTGTTTCCCATGTTGTCAAAGTGAAAGTATTTAATGATGCAAAGGTATTATGTGCTGCCTTGAATCATGGTTGGGGGGTCGAACGACTTTATTTCAACATAATATAAAAAAAACACTTTACCTTGAATGAAAATAATGGTGATTCACTGTTGTCACAGTTTATAGTGTATCATGGTGCTGCAAGGCAATTTAGTTAAAGCGACCACCAAATTGATTTCCATGTACAGTACGATTGTGTTTGTTTACCTTCTACAAGTAACTAAGATTACTTATTTCTAGGGCTGCAACTAATGATTATATTCATGATTGATTAATCTGCCAATAATTGTTTTGATTAATCTAATTTATTGATGACCGGAATAAGTGACCTGTAGTGAAAAATACCCATCTCAGTTTCTGTCAGTCGACTGATTGTTTTCAGCTCCGCTTGGATCTCGTAAAGGTCTGAAGAGTTTGCTTCTCATATCATAAACTCTGCCAGGAAAACAGGTTTTAGTGGTGCAAAAAATAAAAAGAAATGCAGCTTTAATTCTCGTCATAATTTACCCCCCCCACCTTGTTTCCTGTCTGCCTCTTATTGTTTTATATTGTCAATTAAAGGCAAAAAATCCCCTCCTCAAAAATATTCTAATTTAAAAAAAAAACACACAACTGAATTATCAACATAAAGTCAATAAATCCAAAGAAAAAAGACTCTTTATCACTATTTTTTGCTTATTCATCCACCCACTCACTCCTGTGTCGACAGCTGAATGACGACTATAGTAACCATACAGAGATTTGTAAATAGCTTTGAAGAGAAACATTGAAAACGTGTTTTTAACCTGAATGAACCTGTAAAAAAAACTCTCTTAATATTTTATATATTTTTTAACAATGTACAAATGGCAGAAAAAGACGTGTAGAAAAACCTCACTGAGTATGTACAGTACAGGATGTTTGTATCAACTACAATGTGCCACAGGTTTAGGATATGAAGGTTGGTTGGTTTGTGTTTGAGTGGAATTAATTCATTTTAAAACGTGATTTGGTGAATTCCACATGGTTGTCCGTAATGAATCGAGAGTTCAGTTTCAGAATGAGATGTTCAAAGACAGCACAAAATTTGGTTGACAAAAAAAATTACATACTGGATCCTCAAAATATTGAGGTGTTGCATAAAGAACTTTAATGCATTTCTTTTTTAAAACAAAATATATATATGATCATGCCAATTAACTTGTGTTTGTTATAGACAAGCAAGCACACAAGTCTGAGTATTAATGAGTACAGATAAAATTAAGAAATCTGTGTTTTTTTAAATAAAGATACTTAACATTTTTTGGGGAAAAATCTGCCGTTTTAGAAAATAAAGGCAGGATGGTAATGATCAGAGCAATGTTTTGGAGGTTTGGTAAGATAATGAAAAATACACTTTCACAGACAAATGTTTATTCAAACTGTTTCATTGGAGTAGAAACGTACCTCCTCTTTTAGATTTTTCCCATTCAGCACAGACTTGTGTCATGTTTCAAAACCACGATGGGTCACTGCTCCATCATGACGTCTTGTAGCTGCACAGTATCATAAACTCTGATATATCAGTTCAGCTATCATCAGCTTTCAACCGTGTCTGACGGATAAAATAAGAACTCCAACCACCTTAAACCTCTGTGTGTGTGTGTCTGTGTGTGTGTCTGTGTGTGTGTGTGTGTGTGTGTGTCTGTGTTTGTGTGTGTGTGTGTATTGTGGATTGATGAACATGAAGCATGATGTGCCAAATTAAAAAATTGTCGGTCTTCAGATGGGGAAAAAAGAATTTGATGTCAACATTATACAGACCTGTAGGTCGGCACGTTTATGAAATAAACATTGCTTGATAAAGTTCATTGATGTTATCTCAGAATGTAATCATTAATCATGTGAAAAGGTGTGTCTTTATAGAGATTGACTGCATCTTCCATTACTGAAATTTTAACTAGGCACTTATTCTTTACCCCATACTGTTTTAACACCCACTTGTCATGTAACTGAGCATATAAGACCATTTCGGACTATTATCTAAATCAACAAAAATGTAACTTAAACCCATTCATCTTGATGTTTTTCACCTTAACGCCACTTGGTGCTCCATGAAACACTTTTTTTTTTCTCCACTTGTTGAAATGCTGTTTCATATTTAGGTCTATGTTGATCTGTGACTGTGTACTGGGTAAAATATGACACTAAGGAAAAGAATCCCACAATAAAAAAAAAAAATAAAAAAAAGTGTGCTTAAATACAGAAATGTAAGACAGCCAGGGCACGAGTGTCCACTAAATGACTGTTGTTTTGTGGATTTGGACACCTTGAATGTTTGCTGAACACATTGTAATGTCATACGGATGTGTGTGTGGCACAAAGCAAACTGTCACCATTTGTTCATGAATATTATGCACAGAAAAGTTTAATGTGAAAGTGATTTAAAGAGCTGGACTGGAAAGATTGTTTTTTGAGAAAAGATTGCATTAAAGGGGAAAAATCTTATTGCAACAGTTGGTTAATGTTCATTCATTTCATCATGATTCATAATGTATGAGCCATATAGCTCTTAATTAATAATGATTCAGTGGCTTTATTTTGGGAAGCAGCAATAGGCTACGACAGGAAAGGATAATGAGAGGTCCAGCGGATGATGACCCATTAGAAAACCTTTGAAGGTTTAGTGTATTAATAGATTTGGAGTTATGACCAGATTAACCTGCTATTATACGGCCCCACTGTAAAAATGTGGGCCATTTCCCACCCCCACCCTCCATTCTCAGCAGGGATTAACCTCTGTAATGTTATACATTTATTAGCTGACGTTTTTGGGTTAGACACTTTGCACAGTATCAAATGACGGGGGCCATAAAACTACATTTTGACTCTGGGACCAGATTCAAGACCAGTCTAACCCTGAAGCCCCTTATATTTTCACAAATCCAGGTTTGTTTGGAAGTACCTGAATATATTGTAATATCTTAACAATAGAAGATAACGACAAAGAAGTTGGTCTTTGTTCTCATCTGGGAATCAAACAGGCTGGGCAGCCGCCTGTAGCGCAGTGTCAACAGCAACAAAGAGCCATTGTGGAGGCTTATTGCCAAATAAAAACAGACTCCATCATAAATGTCTGATAGTGATTAGAGGTAAAATTCATGGCTATAAAAGTTGCTCAAATTACACTTCACAACTTGTATAAAGTTCCTCTCCCTGGAAATTCACTGGCGTTGCAATTGGCAGCAGTTTCTCCTCACAACTCAAGCCAAGAGAGCGGTGCTGTGGTCCAGTGTGGGAAACTGATCAAACAGAGAACGATCAACTCTCAAAGATCTCTTTTGCATACTCATCACTATGTGGGGTCACCGAAGTAATTGATACATAAGTCATTATCAGTAGATAATATTTGGTATGTTTATGAAAAAAATAATAATAAGGGGTTGGAAAAGTGTTCAGACAGATCTTATACTTAAGTAAATGTAGTAATACAACAGTTTAATAATACTCCAATACAGGTCAATATTGTGCTTCCACAATTTTAGTTAAGTAAAAGTACAAAAGTTAACAACAAATTGTACTGTAAATGTAGACCTAGTAAATGTGTAAACATGTTGTTCTACCTGATCAATGTGGAGCTAATTTTAAAGCAATAATTTAATATTTTGACTCTTACATCTGTCCATTTAATATAGTAAGGCTGGAGCTAGCAGCTGCTTAGCATAGGTTAGCAGAAAGGTCTGGAAGAAAGGGGGGAAACAGATAGCTTGGTCCTGTCAAACGGTAACAAGAGGCACTTCCAAAGTTTAGTAATTAACAGGTAAAATCTTGTTTGTTTAATTGTTTCATCCACTGAAAAAAACAAGGTGTGTAAAAACTGCTATTTTATAGTTAAAGCTATAGTTACACTACAGTTGTTAGTGGAGTTTGTACACTAGTCCCCCCTTAAAATGCAGTGTCGTAAAGTGCAACAGTCGTAGAAAGTGAAAACAGTTAAATAAAGTGGACTATTCAGTAGTACTTCAGTAAATATACTTAGTTACATTCCACACAGGTTGTACCAGCGACACCTGACACCTCAGGTGCGTCGCCTCTAGCCCCGCCCTCCGCAGTGGCAGACGTCGGTCAACCCACCTGAGAGATCTGAGGGACAACAAAGCAGGACTACACATTCACACAGGAACAGCACCTGTCCAGTTTAATGAAGCGACCGGCCTGAACTCGCAAGGGATTTTTTTTTTTTCTTTTTCTTTTTCTTTTGGATCTGTCCACAATGGAAGAGGTGTTTTTTAAATCAGCGTTACCTGCTCTGGACTCTTTCGTGCTGGATGACACCAGTCTGGCTCTGCCGGCCGAGCCGACTGCAAGATCCTCGGCGAAACATGATTCAAACGACCGGAGTCTGCGTGTTCATCAGCAAGTTCAGCTCACTCTGGCACGGAAGGCGAGGAGGACTGTGTCAAATGGTAATATGTTTTTAAGTTTTCTTCTATGACTGTGATCAACGTGTGGCTCGACACAGATTACACAACACCTCACGAGAGACTCTCAGATATTTTACACAGGTATCCTCAACAAGATGAACATTCATAATGGTTTATACTGTGGGTGGTACACTCTGGAGACCAAGGGCATTCAGTTGTCCCCCTCCCACTATTCATATTGACAACAAAGGATAATTACAGTATCTCTCTTAGATTACATCAGTTTTTGTAAAGTTATCTTTCGAACCACTGTGTTAGACAATTGAACCTCACTATTAAACAATAATTCCCAGCATTTTATGGCTTTATATGAAGCATCGTCTGCTTTCAACCCTTCTTCACCATTCAACCCATCCTTGAATATGTTGTGAGCAGCTTAATCAAAGAGGGAATTTCTATAATAAAACCTCTCATATTTTTTCATTTCAGCTGTTTATAGGCCTGAAGACAGGAAAAAATGTAGTGTTTTACATACATAAGCAAAGATTATAGAAAAATCAGGGGGAAATTTATCTAAATTTGAGTAGCAGAACAATGTTTGTCTTCTCTTCTGTCGCTTTAATTATCTTGTGACCACCCTTAGGGGTCTTGATCCTCAGGTTGGGAGCACTGCCCTAGACCTCCGGTTAGACTGCCAGTTAGAGGCCTTTGCTATCAAGAGGATATGCTTTGTGTTTTAAGTGTAGCCTGCTGGAAGTCTACTATTATTTAGGGTTAATACAGGCATTTTTCTGTGACAGCAATGGATGCTACGTAGTAGTTTACTTGCCCGACAGGTTCCTGCAGTTTCATACATTTGCCTTAAGGCTGCTGGACGTGACGGCTGACAGAGCTCCAATTTATTATTTCACCCACTTCCCAGCTTTTCAGGAGGTTAGGCCCTTATTCCTGGGAATCGGTGGATGCGGATGAGTCATCTATATGAACTCCAGTCAGTCATCAACCAAAAACTAATTATATTTTCACGTCTGCATTGACTCGGTGAAAGATCTTGTCACTGCTATTTAATCAGCCTGTGATATGAATTTGCATAAAATGATTTAGCACGTTGGCCTAAGAGTCTGACTGACGAGTTTATTTTCAAAGAGGATTCCTTGAGTGACAGATAAATTCCTGAGCTAAGAAAGTGTGTGAGATACTTTAGACCACATGCTTTGATCCACCTAAGACTGACTAACCAGTGACAAGAACAGTAATATAATGAATACTGCATTTTTTTTAAATTAGAAAAAGTAATAATCACATATTTAATATGGCTGCGAACTAATGTTTATCTTTATTATCAGTTAATCTGCCACGTGTTTGCTTCATAAATTGATTAATGGTTTGGTTATAAAAGGTCAGAAAATAGAAAATAGTTCCAGCGCTACATAACAATATACACGTGTTACACTTATTCTAAATTACTTAGTATGGTCCCATTGTTATGTGATATCCTGTAATGCTAAACTGAGGGAAAGTAATGTCCAGAAATGGTTAAAGGAATGAATAATCATTTCTGTTGGCCCTTTGGGGAGATATACTTTATATTGTACATGTCAATTAAATCAATTAATGATAAACATAAACAGTATAGACAAAACTTAAAGTATGTGTTTGATCTTTTTTAAACCTCACTTCTGTTTTCCTCCTCTCGTCCTCGTCCACTCCTGCAGCACCCTGAGTGTAAATGTTTGTGCTTAGTGTTAGTGTTGACATGCATTTAGGTGATTACAGTGTGAAACTGTACACTCTAACAAAAACCTCTTCCACTTGTTTCAGGAGGTGTCCATTTACAGAAACACACAACAAATAGCTTTGATGCTATAGATGGACTTTTACCAAACATGAAGGTAAGGGACCTCTTTCATCACTCATGCATCCACAAACACACAAGGCGATGCAGTGACATTTATCATCTTCTTCTTCCTGTGTAACTTAAAGGTTCATCTCTCATTTTTCCTGCTAAAACTGATCTGATCTGTTCTTTTGAAGCGCTCTAGTTCCTGCAGCCAGTTCAACATATGGGTTTTGTACCTGCACTGACTCTTAGAGGCTTATCACGAGTTACCACAATTTGAATGTAGTCAAATGGTCTGCAGCTGCTTTACGTTCATAGTCTCCTGATATCAAACAAATCTTTCCGTTCTTACTTTTGCTTGACATCATGATTTATGACCTTTCACCGGTAGCTGCTGTTACATACACACGTTTTTTTCATTTCAACATTTCGGAACAACTGTTCACCCGGGATGTGATTCAGTACGTTCTGGTATTTACATGCGGCGACGCATTTAATCGGGTCAGCTGTGTGACATGCACATAAGTGATGAATATGTCACGCATTCGTCCTCCTCAACGGTTCTCTTTATGGCACGTTAGCACAGTGGGTCAACTGGTAGCTGATGAAAGAATAACAGAAGAAGCTTTTTGCTCTTGATGACTGAAGGTTAAAGGAAAAGTATAAACCTTTGTGTTTTATTTTGAAACTCCATTTTAATTATCTAACTAACAACAATTATTTATTGCTGTATCCAGTTATATTTTTGACTTGGCTCATAACATTTTACTACATTTGGTAGGTTGGTCGGTGCCGGGACCCAATATAGATGTAACTAAAAGCACTTACTGTATATCTTTAAAAAAGAAAGGTTGTCCACGGCAATTTACATAAAAAACTACATCATAATCTTATTATATAATATACATTTTCTGATACCACACAGTGTAAGAGATTGTTTTGTATACAGGCTCTGAATTATAAATACATAAATACATTGGGAATGAATGGGCCTCCACAGACTTTCATTTATTAGATAACTCAAAATAACTCCATTCAGCATCATAAAGACCTTTTACACAGTTACATTTGGACTCTTAAGCTCTGTAAATTTAAAGTCCTTCCAGAGAAATTGAAAGTGAGAATCGCAGAATAAATAGGTCACAATGTATTAAAGTGCAGATTGGGTTTTGTTTTTTTCACAGATGAATGGCTGGGCCGTCAACAACCAGTCTCTTTCAAGCAGCCGTGTGCAGAGACCATCCAGGAGGGTGGAAGTGTCCCCACCTCCGAGCCCAGAATTACCTCGCAGCCGCTTCAATTATAGCACCTACCGCTTTGGGACGTGCACCCTCCCGGGACCCAGTCACTCACACAGGGCGGGCCCTCTGTTGGACCACTCATCCGGGTTGGATTCATTTCGGCGCTACGCCTTCTCAGAAGCGCCACGTGTCACGCGGCCGCTTTCATCCACACCTACACACGAGAGCTTCCGCCACAGGTCACTGAGACAGACGGCGGGGCAGCAGTCTCTGTTTGCGCATGCAGCATTTCAGGAAAGTGGTCAGTATGGCTCTCCCTGGATCCATAACCAAACTGTGGTCAAACAGGAGGTACCCACCGTGCAGGGAAAAAGCGGTGATATGGTGCTTGGTGCTATCCAGCCTGACGAAGGGCTGTCCTGGTTCTCTCAGATCAGGAGGGAAGGCCAGCGGCCCCGCAGACTGAATTCATACCCGGCCTCCGTCAGCAGCATGGTGGTGGACATGGGGAGGCAGATGGAGGTGGAACTCCCCATCCAGCAGATACCGGCACAGACCGCCATGACACCGTAAGATCATGAGTATGATCCCAACCATGAACAGTATTCTTGACTGTACGTTCTCTCATTAACTTCTTATCTTCTTCACGCAGGAAGTCGGAGAACAAGCCTCCGGAGATGACGCTGGAGAGGGCCGTGAACCTGTTGACCCAGGATAACGAGGAGACGCTGATCTGTGCAGCCAGCCACATACAGAGTCAATGTTTCAACAGCGCAGATGCTAAAAAGATGGTATGTTTAATCACATGCAGTGTATGGGATCATTTTAGTCATTCAAAATAGAATGTGTCAGCAGTTCAATAACACAAATTTTCTGAATGTCATGGCTTACATACACTATGTCACGTCTGCGTCTGTCACTCAATAGTGCGCTCTTGTTTTCCAGGTGTACTATCTCCATGGAATTGGAAAGCTCCTGCAGCTCCTCCAAAGCGACAACGAGGAGGTGCAACGTGTCGCCGCTGGGGCGCTGCGTAATGTCGTTTACCAGAGCAGCGAGAACAAGATGGAGGTGAAGGAAAGCGGTGGCTTGATCACCATTTTGGGTGCACTGAAGAGCAGCCGCGATACTGAGACCAGACGACAACTTACTGGTCAGTTTTGGTTTTTTTTTTTTTTTTTTTTTTACTTCGCTACATAAATCGGAGCTCAGGTGTTTAAAACCAAAACCATACCGTGTCTACTTTTGAAAAAATGTCTTTGCAAAATAATAAAGTAGATTTCCATCTAACTCGTAGGTCTGTTGTGGAACCTCTCCTCTCATGACATTTTGAAGGAGCGTCTCACCAGAGAAGCCTTACCCGTCCTCACCCAGTCAGTCATCGTGCCCAGTTCAGGCATTTCTGAAGGCGAGAACCCAAAAGACGAGCTCCTCGCTGATGCTGATGTTTTCCACTATGCTACAGGCTGCCTGCGGTAGGCTTCTTCGCCCGCTTTGAAACTAGACACTCAGACTGGAGTGAACAGACACCACTACTGGTGTCAGCTGATCAGCTCACACCAAACTAAATACAGAATTTGAGAATTCGAGAAAAACACCTTTTCATCCGCATGGCTTGAAAGCAAATGAACAACTTTGACTGTATGTTTGCACATATGGAGAAACCGATGGAGGAAGCGAAAAGTTTACAGTCTATCGGGAGTGAAGAAGAAGCAGCACGGTAGAGGCCATGCTTGGTCACGGTGCAGCATAAGGCAATACTTTTATGATATTGCAAAGGGCGAGATTTAACAGATGGCAGAGCTACAGTCATACACATACGCGTCAGCCTCTGCCAAGCTGAGTTATGAGTAAACAGTCGCTGAACATGGTATAAACCGATATCACCCGTCTGGATTGTATTTTGATGAGAAGCAGGAAGCACCGTCTTTACTTTATTGGAAGGAACCTTTGCTCTTTTAGGCTTGTGATGAAAAAACTTTATTGAGTTTGTGCCAACAAGGAAAAACAAGTGAAATAAAAAAACAAAAAGCGAGACGGAAACATAATGATGGATTAAAGAAAATATCCAGTTTCTCATGTTCTGGTTTAGTCATCACAGACAGTCAGAAGTAGCTGTTTGTTGCTTGTGATAGGGGTCAGTTGAGTGACTACTGGCTACACCATCAAATTGCTGCTTTCTCATTAAGCCTCATCAGCAAATTTGATTGTGTTAAACGGCAATTTATCTGTTGTGGGTCCAGAGATTATGTATCGTCTTGTCGGTTTCTACTTGGAGGCGTTCTTATGCGGTCACGTATCGTCTCTCTGTTTACAAAGCAGGAGATATCAGACGTGCCGCTCCCCTGGCAACTATAGCCGGATGAAAAGAGTCAAAGGCTGAATTATTCATGGATTTCTCTCTTCTCTCCGCTCGGCTGAACTGAAATCACTCAGTCCTCGCCGGCCCAGCGTTATCAAGTTCTCCTTATCATGTTCTCAAACCCCTTTTGAGCTCCCCTGTGGATGGGAAAAATTATGAGTTCCTCTCATTATATTTCATCAAAGAAGCTGTTGTGTGGAGTTAGAATGATAATTGTTGTATTTATTTATTTATTTTCCAAGGGAAGTTGGATTACATAAAAAAAAAAAGGTTGTGGTAATCCGTGAAATAATTTGTCATTACTGCAGATGGTTTTCGAACAGCCCGAGATCCAGAATAGTGTAACCATTAACTTGTGTAATTATGTTGTTGACAGAAAGGGGACAACATCTTTTTTTTTTTTTTTTATTTTGTTTTTTTTGGCTTATTACAATGTGGGAATTTGTTGTCATGAGCTCTGCTGACTGTACTAATATGGTTCAGTGACACTGAGAACTGCTTATCTGATTAAAACACACAAATGTCACATTACCTTGAATGTTTTGACTGTTCCTGTTCCCAGAAATCTGAGCTCTGCTGGTCCAGATGGCAGGAAAGCAATGAGGGATTGTGAGAATCTCATCGACGCCCTGGTCTACTACATCCGGAGAACCACAGCTGACCATAAAACAGATGACAAGGTGAAATGAAAACGATGAGCATCCCAGAGATAACATTCGTCTTCACGGTCGCTTCAGACTGCTCTAAAGTGCTACTTGTTACAGTATAAGATATTTTGTGATGCGATGCACACTGTATCTGAACCATACTTTTCCTGTTCTGTAGTTCATGTCCAGTCATTCCAATAAATCCTGTTGCTTCTCACAGGATTTAAAAAAAAAAAAAAAAAAAAGGCACAATCCAATTCCAAACATAAATAGTTCTTGGACACTTGGGTCTAAATTGTAAAGCAAAACTCACTGGACTAAACTCAGTGTGTTGTATCTATGCACACGATTAAACAACATGCCATACTGTATATGATTTATTTATCACATATGTATATTTGCTCTGAAGTCCACAGAGAACTGCGTCTGCATCCTGCACAACCTGTCTTATCAGATAGAGGCAGAGCTGCCGAAGAAGTACATGCAAGATCTAAGAGAATCCCGGCAAAACCTGTCTCCCAAGCCAAAGACCGTCAGCTGCTTTCCTGACCGCAGTGCCAAGATCACAGAGGTAATCCCTTCACACAATAATCCACACTGACAATACAAAAGATGTGGTATAATATTTAACAGGAAATTCTTTGAAAACTGCGGAATTGCCGCAGGTTTAATCACCTGTAAAACTGCTTCTTTTGAAGGTAATAGTATTTATCTTTCATTATTTGCATGAAGGGAAACATCCAAGCAAATACATACATGACATGTTGCATTCCAGCTTCGTCAGGTACGTCTGTGCCACCTGCTCTTCATATTTTTATCAGAACAATGACTCCAATCCAATGACTACATGTGATACGAAAGGTGTCGCCTGCAGTCACAAGACAGCGGAGAATTAGTAGTAACCCTTTAGCTTTAAAAGTCATTGTTGTATCAGTGCACAGGCAAAAATGAGCAACTAGCTAAAGAGCACAGTGGAGCATTTTGCAGCTGAAGAGCCAGTTATTTCCCTCAGGAGTCTGTTGAGACTAAATCAGAGCTTAAAGGATGGTGAATGAATAATGGACTTCTGTCAGGTGGTCAGACAGAATCACAACTCCAGATGAATGCTAATGTAGCTCCATGTGTAAATGAATTACAGTTTGCTAACACGTTCACTACAGCTATCTACTTTATTTTAATGTAGTTTTAACACTCAAACATTACACCACATGTTATAGCTGGACATCTCTCTCCAAAGCCATGGGCATTATCATCTGATATAACAGCTTCCACTGTTGGAATCTGACAGCGGGGATTAGGGAGGCCGGCCTCTGATGTTAGCTGATAAGATTTATGACTCCCTTTGTACATTCAATCTCAACTCAAAGGTGCTAGATGTTTGAGTTCAGGTCGTGAAGGCCAGTCAAGGCCTTCCACACCAAACTGTTGCTAAAAGGTTGTATGTTGAAGCATTAAGATTTCCCTTACTCCAAGCAAGGTTTTTGCTAACTGAGATCCAGACACACACCTACAACTATTATATTACTCTGCTAGCTACTATGACTCACTCACAAGCTAACAGTCAAGTGTGGTTTTACACAACGGGCAGGGTGAGCTAGCCACCCCAGGTCATATTTATATATACACGCCTGAGTTCAACAAGAGTCATCAAAAATATTTGAATGTTTTGCAGCAGGACAAAGGAGAGGGATTTTGATGTACTGATACTCATTTTTACATATGTATATTTAGCATGTAACAAGATAGATAAAAAAATAGATGTAGGGATACAGGATTACAGTTAGGAGAAAGTATTTTAGTTAAATAGTCCTCATATGTCATTGCATGCCCATTACTGTAAACAATCATCTGCATTGCAGCTACTCAGCTGCTGCAGTGTGAATTCTTTATAATTATGTGTTTCCAGGATGATGATGCTGCAAAATGGCATTGAAGCTCTGGTTAAGTAAACTTAAAATTCCTACAGACACGCACACACACATACACACACACACACAATGAGAGCGAGACATCATTCATTGTTAACCTGCTGAGTTATAGCAGCCTCCTGTTGTCAGTATGAACCCAGTGAACCCATGTGGAAGCTGCAGCTCGTCACTTGTTTCTTCCCAGCATCTGGAGCGACGGAGCCCTCTGCTGGAGGAGAAGGCTAACCCCCGTGGGATAGAGTGGCTGTGGAGCGCCATCACTGTCCGCATGTACATGTCACTGATCGCCCGCAGTGCGCGCCACTACACCCAGGAGGCCGCCATCGGAGCTCTGCAGAACATCACAGCCGGGAACGGAGCGGTAAGACGGCACAGATGTTTCATAGAGAGATGGAGCTGTTAGAGTGCTGTATATTAGTTCAAGGCATATTTGGATTTAATGCTTTAGTTGTGGGTCAGAGACATGATTTAGATGACAAATAGTGTAGAATACTAGATGATACTGTAAGTTTGCATTAGTTAGACTGAAGCTGTTCTCTCAGGATTGTGGCAGGGATAATGAATTATTAGTTATTCCATCAGTTATTATGATAAATAATAATATTTTCAAAAATTCTCATTACAAGTTGCCGGAATTCAAAGTGATGTCTTAAAATTGTTTGCTCTGTTCGAGCACCAAAATAATGGCTTTGTGTCTGTTTGATCTATTTGTGTCTGTTTGATCTGTAGGGAATAGTTAAATACCAAAACTTATTTTTGCATGGTTTGAGAGTTTCTCCATATTCTGCTCCTGGTGGTGAGCAGAATTTCTTTCAGGGGGAAAGAAAAGTTTCAACTTTTATTTCACAATGCTGCACAATGCAGAAAAGGAGGCACTTCATTTGCATTTGAGAGTGCAGCCAGCTAATATTTGAGATTTTTAATTGATAAATGACCTAAATGATTAATTAATTGATTGAATTTTCTGTGACTAATGAATTAATCAAGTAATTATTTCACTTGTGCATGTGGATGCAGATTGATTGTTTGAAAGGCATAGTGAGGATCCAAACAAAGCTTTAACAGCATGAGGAAACATAGTTGTTATCCTGTTAATTGAATTGAAATAGCAATATATATGACACATGTTTTGAGTATTTTCTCTTGTGGTCTTGCAGGTGTCTGAAGCCATCGCTTTCACCATTGTTCAGCGGGAAAATGGTCTTCAGCAAGTCAAGAAGATGTTACAGGAGGGAGAGGGTGACGTGAAGAGGACGGCCATTTCTCTAATAAGAAACCTCTCTCGCTACCAGGAAGTGCACTCCGACATCGGTAGCTTTCCATTCGAACCACAAGATACTTTGTCATTTTGTTATTTTTCTCAAAGAATTTGAACCGCTAACTTGACCTTTTTTAATTTTCATTTTTAACACTTTAAATATATATGTATATCAATTTCTGTGTTTCTTCCTCCTGAAGTGAAGCAGGTGTTACCGGAGTTGGTGGAGATGCTGCCCAACGATGACACTGGCACCGACCTGCCCACGGAGGTGACGGTTTGCCTCTGTCATATCCTGATTAACCTGAGTCAGAGCGACTCGCAGCACGTCAGAGCCATCGTCAACCAGGGAGCCCTCCCAAAGGTCATCAACATCAGCAGCAAAGACAATGGGTTAGTCATCTTACCACTGTGGTATCTATGTTCCTCAGTTTACAGCAGGTACACTTCTCAGTTCAGAGAGATTTTGTCTAAAAGCAAAACACCTCTAGGCTCTAATATGCAGTTATATGTACCTATATTATATGTTCATACAATATGTATATAGGACAGAATAATTTCACCTCTCTGTGTCCTAGTTATGGACCAACCAGAGCGGGTCAGGCTGCGTGTGTCGTGCTGCACACCATGTGGAAACACAGAGATCTCCATGGTGCCTACAAGAAGGTGGGTTCTTATCCATGTAGTACATTACAGTAACACACATGCTTTCCAAATGGATAATAGACAGTCATGTGGGTTTCTTCTGTCTAATTCATTGTCCTTGTTGTCTGCACATAATCAGCATAGCTGGAGACGTCTTACAGATGCTGCTCGAAGCATGTTTCCATTCAGTCTGCATAGAATCTTGCAGCCTCTTTGATGATGTTAGAGTTTTTGCACACGAGCATCAGAAACTTTAATAAACATTTTTGTTTTTGCATGGAGAGTACTGGTAAACGATTTGTTTTAGGTCTAGGAGATTTAGTTGGTTATCTTAGCCGACACAGTTTGCTGCCTGTCTTAGCATAGCATAGCTTAGCATAGCATAACATCACATCACATCACATCACATCACATCACATCACATTGAGATATGTTGTGACTAGATTGGTGCCAGGTTGCGTTATAAGGTTGGATTTGACGAGTAGTATCTAAAGCATGGCTCTACTTGTTGATGTGTGTGTTAAAACACTGGATAGCATTGTTTGTTATACTAATGATGTACTGCTGTACAGGATATTTAGAAGGTAGAAATTCAGCAGATGTTTACTGTGACACATCTAACTCTTAAATGTCTGTGGTTGTATTCGGACCATAGTGGGAAATTGCAAATCCATGAGCAGGAGTGCATCATAGCAACATTGAATTTGTAAAACTGATTTCTCAGGTATTTAATTCACTAGTTTATCCACCTGGTAGCTGTGTGCATCACTGTCTGTCACAATATCTAAACTACCACTGGGGGGTGTAAAACATTCAAATCTTACACATAGTAGCTCTGAGAATCTCTGCAGTACAACAAATATAATATCCAGACTTAACACTTCTGTTCTTTCTCGACAGTGTGGGTACAGGAAAGCTGATTTCATTAATGCAAGAACAACAAAGGCTGTGAACAGTGGACGAAACTGAGCCGAAGATCCTCCGTACCAAAGTCCAAGCTGCACTTATTAACAGTATCAGCACCTCACTGTCACGAGTCACTCAATCCACCGTTTTCCTGTCACAGAGATTCCGTGTCACAGTTTGTTTGTTTTTTTTCAATGCCACATACAAAACATTGTAAACTATGTCGTATTTCCCTTTAAAATCTCATGAAATAGCTTTAAAATTACAATTTCCTTCTGTGTTTGACCGTGTTGCTCTGACCCTGAAACATGGGCTTTGGTATTTTGGTAATTGTAGAAACAGCAAACGAGTGAGGTGTTGTGGTAAAATAGAGATAGGTAGAAACTCAGCAACATAAGGAAAACATTAGTGAAGAGCCCTTTTTCATTTCACAGGACCTTTTTAAGGCACTTTTTAGTTTGTTCACATTCCTCATCAGATGCATCACATACTTCAGGCCGCTGCCTTTGTGCCTCTTGTTCAGAAAAACTGACAAATGAATGTAGAAACTTCTCCTGAAAATGTATCATCTCTCTAGCAATGGTAATGAATGACACGAAAAGTATTCCTTTATGTTTGTCTGCTTTTTTTTTTTTTATAGCGTTTTGTTTTGTTTTGAAGCATTTGAGTTAATTAAACAAAGAACCACAATGAAAAAAAATATGATGAAGATCAGTCAAATTTTATTGGAAAATTGTTCATGTATGTATATAAATGTATTTTAAGACAGAATGACTTACTGTAACACATCAAGCTGATTCTGCCTTATTGTGTTGTTTCCCCAAATTAATAAACTGTTATTTTCCCTTTACACTACAGGTGGCTGTAGATTCATCTTTCTATTACTGCGAAAAAGTTGAGTCATTGATTTAAAAAGAAAAAGCTTAGAACTGCAAAAGATCAATGAATATCATGAAGTTCAGAGACCTTTTATGTTTGAAAACCTGACTTCAGCAGTGTTTGCTCAACATTGAACCATAATCAAACAGTTCTCTCAATCATTCGCAAGTAATGTGTGGAAGTCTATGCCAGTGGATGAGACTGAAACCTCAAGTGTTTGGCTTCATTCCTCAGGCCCCCTCGGTGACTTTGAGGCGAGCTGCACTGCGGCACGGCTGAAGTGTTAGCCGGGGTGGGGGTGGGGGTGGCTTCAGCAGTGTTTGCTCAACATTGAACCATAATCAAACAGTTCTCTCAATCATTCGCAAGTAATGTGTGGAAGTCTATGCCAGTGGATGAGACTGAAACCTCAAGTGTTTGGCTTCATTCCTCAGGCCCCCTCGGTGACTTTGAGGCGAGCTGCACTGCGGCACGGCTGAAGTGTTAGCCGGGGTGGGGGTGGGGGTGGACCCCACCCCCACCCCGGCTTAACACTTCAGCCGTGCCGCAGTGCAGCTCGCCTCAAAGTCACCGAGGGGGCCTGAGGAATGAAGCCAAACACTTGAGGTTTCAGTCTCATCCACTGGCATAGACTTCCACACATTACTTGCGAATGATTGAGAGAACTGTTTGATTATGGTTCAATGTTGAGCAAACACTGCTGAAGTCAGGTTTTCAAACATAAAAGGTCTCTGAACTTCATGATATTCATTGATCTTTTGCAGTTCTAAGCTTTTTCTTTTTAAATCAATGACTCAACTTTTTCGCAGTAATAGAAAGATGAATCTACAGCCACCTGTAGTGTAAAGAAAATAACAGTTTTATTAATTTGGGGAAACAACACAATAAGGCAGAATCAGCTTGATGTGTTACAGTAAGTCATTCTGTCTTAAAATACATTTATATACATACATGAACAATTTTCCAATAAAATTTGACTGATCTTCATCATATTTTTTTTTCATTGTGGTTCTTTGTTTAATTAACTCAAATGCTTCAAAACAAAACAAAACGCTATAAAAAAAAAAAAAGCAGACAAACATAAAGAATACTTTTCGTGTCATTCATTACCATTGCTAGAGAGATGATACATTTTCAGGAGAAGTTTCACATTCATTTGTCAGTTTTTCTGAAACAAGAGGCACAAAGGCAGCGGCCTGAAGTATGTGATGCATCTGATGAGAATGTGAACAAACTAAAAAGTGCCTTAAAAAGGTCCTGTGAAATGAAAAAGGGCTCTTCACTAATGTTTTCCTTATGTTGCTGAGTTTCTACCTATCTCTATTTTACCACAACACCTCACTCGTGTTGCTGTTTTCTACAATTACCAAAATACCAAAGCCCATGTTTCAGGGTCAGAGCAACACGGTCAAACACAGAAGGAAATTGTAATTTTAAAGCTATTTCATGAGATTTTAAAGGGAAATACGACATAGTTTACAATGTTTTGTATGTGGCATTGAAAAAAAACAAACAAACTGTGACACGAATCTCTGTGACAGGAAAACGGTGGATTGAGTGACTCGTGACAGTGAGGTGCTGATACTGTTAATAAGTGCAGCTTGGACTTTGGTACGGAGGATCTTCGGCTCAGTTTCGTCCACTGTTCACAGCCTTTGTTGTTCTTGCATTAATGAAATCAGCTTTCCTGTACCACACTGTCGAGAAAGAACAGAAGTGTTAAGTCTGGATATTATATTTGTTGTACTGCAGAGATTCTCAGAGCTACTATGTGTAAGATTTGAATGTTTTACACCCCCCAGTGGTAGTTTAGATATTGTGACAGACAGTGATGCACACAGCTACCAGGTGGATAAACTAGTGAATTAAATACTTGAGAAATCAGTTTTACAAATCAATGTTGCTATGATGCACTCCTGCTCATGGATTTGCAATTTCCCACTATGGTCCGAATACAACCACAGACATTTAAGAGTTAGAATGTGTCACAGTAAACATCTGCTGAATTCTACCCTTCAAATACTCTGTACAGCAGTACATCATATAGTATAACAAAACATGCTATCCAGTGTTTTAACACACACATCAACAAGTAGAGCCCATGCTTTAGATACTACTCGTCAAATCCAACCATTATAACGCAACCTGGCACCAATCTAGTCACAACATATCTCAATGTGATGTGATGTGATGTGATGTGATGATGTGTGAGTGATGTTATGCTATGCTAAGCTATGCTATGCTAAGACAGGCAGCAAACTGTGTCGGCTAAGATAACCAACTAAATCTCCTAGACCTAAAAACAAATCGTTTACCAGTACTCTCCATGCAAAAACAAAAATGTTTATTAAAGTTTCTGATGCTCGTGTGCAAAAACTCTAACATCATCAAAGAGGCTGCAAGATTCTATGCAGACTGAATGGAAACATGCTTCGAGCAGCATCTCTTAAGACGTCTCCAGCTATGCTGATTATGTGCAGACAACAAGGACAATGAATTAGACAGAAGAACCCACATGACTGTCTATTATCCATTTGGAAAGCATGTGTGTTACTGTAATGTACTACATGGATAAGAACCCACCTTCTTGTAGGCCGACCATGGAGATCTCTGTGTTTCCACATGGTGTGCAGCACGACACACGCAGCCTGACCCGCTCTGGTTGGTCCATAACTAGGACACAGAGAGGTGAAATTATTCTGTCCTATATACATATTGTATGAACATATAATATAGGTACATATAAACTGCATTATTAGAGCCTAGAGGTGTTTTGCTTTTAGACAAAATCTCTCTGAACTGAGAAGTGTACCTGCTGTAAACTGAGGAACATAGATACCACAGTGGTAAGATGACTAACCCATTGTCTTTGCTGCTGATGTTGATGACCTTTGGGAGGGCTCCCTGTGTGACGATGGCTTCTGACGTGCTGCGAGTCGCTCTGACTCAGGTTAATCAGGATTAGACAGAGGCAAACCGTCACCTCCGTGGGCAGGTCGGTGCCAGTGTCATCGTTGGCGAGCATCTCCACCAACTCCGGTAACACCTGCTTCACTTCAGGAGGAAGAAACACAGAAATTGATATACATATATATTTAAAGTGTTAAAAAATGAAAATTAAAAAAGGTCAAGTTAGCGGTTCAAATTCTTTGAGAAAAATAACAAAATGACAAAGTATCTTGTGGGTTCGAATGGAAAGCTACCGATGTCGGAAGTGCACTTCCTGGTAGCGAGAGAGGTTTCTTATTAGAGAAATGCCGTCCTCTTCACGTCACCCTCTCCCTCCTGTAAACATCTTCTTGACTTGCTGAAGACCATTTTCCGCCCTGAACAATGGTGAAAGCGAATGGCTTCAGACACCTGCAAGACCAACAAGAGAAAATACTCAAAACATGTGTCATTATATATTGCTATTTCAATTCAATTAACAGGATAACAACTATGTTTCCTCATGCTGTTAAAGCTTTGTTTGGATCCTCACTATGCCTTTCAAACAATCAATCTGCATCTCACATGCACAAGTGAAATAATTACTTGATTAATTCATTATGCCACGAAAATTCAATCAATAATAATCATTTAGGTCATTATCAATTAAAAATCTCAAAATATTAGCTGGCTGCACTCTCAATGCAAATGAAGTGCCTCCTTTTCTGCATTGTGCAGCATTGTGAAATAAAAGTTGAAACTTTTCTTTCCCCCTGAAAGAAATTCTGCTCACCACCAGGAGCAGAATATGGAGAAAACTCTCAAACCAATGCAAAAATAAGTTTTGGTATTTAACTATTCCCTACAGATCAAACAGACACAAAATAGATCAAACAGACACAAAGCCATATATTTGGTGCTCGAATCAGAGCAAACAATTTTAAGACATCACTTTGAATTCCGGCAACTTGTAATGAGAATTTTGAAAATATATTATTATTTATCATAATAACTGATGGAAAATAACTAATATCATCATTATCCCTGCCACAAATCCTGAGAGAACAGCTTCAGTCTAACTAATGCAAACTTACAGTATCATCTAGTATTCTACACTATTTGTCATCTAAATCATGTCCTGACCCACAACTAAAGCATTAATCCAAAATGCCTTGAACTAATATACAGCACTCTAACAGCTCCATCTCCTATGAAACATCTGTGGCGTCTTACCGCTCCGTTCCGCGTGATGTTCTGCAGAGCTCCGATGGCGGCCTCCTGGGTGTAGTGGCGCGCACTGCGGGCGATCAGTGACATGTACATGCGGACAGTGATGGCGCTCCACAGCCACTCTACTACGGGGTTAGCCTTCTCCTCCAGCAGAGGGCTCCGTCGCTCCAGATGCTGGGAAAGAAACAACAGTGACGAGCTGCAGCTTCCACATGGGTTCACTGGTTCATACTGACAAACAGGAGGCTGCTATAACTCAGCAGTATAACATGATGATGTCTCGCTCTCATTGTGTGTTGTTGTGTATGTGTTTGTGCGTGTCTGTAGGAATTTTAAGTTTACTTAACCAGAGCTCAATGTGCCATTTTGCAGCATCATCATCCTGGAAACACATAATTATAAAGAATCACACTGCAGCAGCTGAGTAGCCTGCAATGCAGATGATTGTTTACAGTAATGGGCATGCCAATGACATATGAGGACTATTTAACTAAAATACTTTCTCCTAACTGTAATCCTGTATCCCTACATCTATTTTTTTAATCTATCTTGTTACATGCTAAATATACCATATGTAAAAATGAGTATCAGTA